AAGTAAATCGCTAAGAACTTGGCTTGTTTATTGTCTACAATCCCACATACATGATAAATTTTAAAAACAAAAGTAATCCGATTGTGAGCTAAAATAAAGTACACCTCTTGGTTGCACCCTGTATATTGTATAATCTAGTAGCGATCTGCGCCCATGATATATTTTTTGAACGACAAATTGGGTGTTTCCAGATCACCAGACCAATAGTCCTATCAATCAACTGGACCAATCTTTCGTGTAAAGGTTGATCAACGTTTAAAAAATGAACCCTCATCTTTACTAAAATCTTTTGTTATTTATTGTTGCTTCTATCATGAGATTACAGTGATAGTTATCGCTAGCGACCGCGTAAAATGTTTCTATAGAATGTTGTTTCTTCTCGTGTCCGCTAGGGGCGCTGCATAACTTGCCATACAAAGTTGTGAAGTAACTTACGCAGTCGCTAGCGAATACTGACACAGTAAACTCGTGGTAGAGGCACAGATCCGTTTCAAATTGTGAACAGGATACGTAACAGGGTTTTTTTTGTCTCGTAGCTTTTGCGCACTACTTCTGATTCGTATCAATGTCACAGGGTTTTATCTGTACGTATTTTCTCGGATTGGAATCGGACTTAGTGCACAAGCGGCATTCGGAGTTTTCTAGATTTATATAGCCTCGGATTCGGAACAAATACGAATAGGATGCAGTGCAAACGCGCTTAGTTGTCGCTAGGGAACGCGTTAAATATTTATATGTTACAATATTAAGTTTATTGAACATCACGATGTTTTCCTACCATGATATTCAATTATTTTTGTGAAATTACTCCACTACTTTATTATAATTATTAATAGCATCCTTCCCAGGGTGAGGCGTTACTTCACACAGGAACTGTTGCTTCAGCTGTATGAAGCACAAGTCCGGTCGCGTATGGAGCATTGCTGCCACCTTTGGGATGGCTCTGCTATATACCAACTGGCCATCTTAGATTCAATTGACAAGCGTGCAAGAGACTTATAGGTAACTCGGAATTAGTAGAGGCGAAGCAGCCTTGAACACCGCCGTAAAGTTGCCTGCTTATCGGTATTTTACAGGAAATATAGTGTGCGATGGAATTACACGATTAATTCCGCCTTCCCCTGTCCATCATCGGCGGACTAGGCGTAGGCTTGTATTCCACCCCTATGTTGTGGATATTCCAAAGATTCGCACGAAGCGTTATGCTTCCACATTTATTTGGCGAACGGCTATGGAGTGAAATTCCATGCCTGCAGACTTGTTCCCTGAACGTTATAACTTGCACCTTTTTAAGGCGAGAGTGAATAGGCATTATTTAGATGTGACTTCATCGTCACTTTCCATCAGACGAGATGGAGGTCAAATGCACACTTGAATTAAAAAAAAGCAAAGATCGGACAGAAACAAAAATTCCTCCGATTCGACTGGACTCGAACTAGCGACCGCTAGGGGGCGCTGCATAATTTGTCGCACGAAATTTTAATGTATTTTACACTGTCAGTAGCGACTACTGTCACATTAAACGCGCGATGGAAGCACTTTACAATACGAAAGGTCACGTCGTACAAACGGTGGAAAAATTCTATAGAAGAGAGTGATTGAATTACCGATAGGACGAACGGGAAAATACCCGACACATTACACTATAATAAAACGCAAATATTCGCTTTACAATCACTAATAACAGTATTTTACACACAATTGCTATTTACTACATTAGTAGCTGAAAGACGTAGTCTTATATCTAGGAATATACAAGATTTGTGTTTCACTCAAATTTAGGGCGCGTTTAAATTAGACGCTTATAGACGCGCTACAGTGGCGCCATTGTGGTGCGCAAACGCGCCACTACTAGTTTTCATACAATATTTATTTAGAAGCGCAGTTACAGCGCCACTGTCGTGTCCCACGCGCGCCACTTTTGCATTCAGTTAGTGAACAAAAATTTCGAAGAAAGAAGTAAAACTAAAACGCTACAGACGCTTACAGACTACATCGCTCCAACAAGCGCCTAATTTGAAAGCGCCCTTAATCGTTAGTAACATTGGGCCCGATTCTTTTGTCGTAAATTTATATTGCACATAAATATTCAAGCGTTTAGCAACTTATTATGATATCTACTGTAGAATATGCCATTTAAATTCACATTTCATTTAAAAAATATTCGATTTTGGAAGTTACCACATATATTGAGTCGATCTGAAAAAGCGCTAAGCATTATAGCATTTCGCTTCAGCGGTCCGAACTATTTCTGACCGGATCAAGCAGATTCCTTGTCCATATGTGTGGTGACTCTTTAGTGTCATTTCCAAGTCCAATAGTAACTTGTCAGCCTTTACGATTGGATTTTGTTTATCAATACGACGGCAAGAAAATTAAAACATATACACCGTTAGTCCTACTAATAGGACTAGACGGTCACATCGATTTTATTTAAAAATAACAATGTAGTTGCAGGAGATAAATTAATGGCAAAGTAATTCACAATTTTGACAAGTGTCACCATTTTGGCGAATTTTGCAGAATAGTGAAAAAAAAATGGAACCGGCCCCAATTCAGAAAAATTAAAATAAGAACCAAAAAATTTATTTCCTTAACGTTTATTATTTGTAAATCTGAACAAAAAACACTTTTCGAACATGATGTGTTCAATTTGAAGTCCAATATTTAGAGCTTATGTTAATGGATAAAAACCGGACGAAGAAAAGAGTAAAATTTTAATACATTTTCTTTAATAAAATTTCACCCTATCTTTTGCATCCAGTGGAGATTTAACAGCAAATAACTGCTGCAAAATCTATAAAGTAAATTTCTCGTATTCATAGTCATACAGGATATTTTAAAAATATTTTTATACTACGTGGCCGCAGTTGGTACGAACCAAAAGGTGAACAATAGGTTACCAAATCTGTTTTGCATTATACTGTACAGCATTTCGTAATTAACAGTGATCAAAACGAAAAAGTAAAATATTTTCTAGAACACGATATTTCACATTATACTTGTACGATCAGGGCTTGGAACCAGATAAAAAAAACTGGTAATTTTTTTTCAGGCTGGTTTATTTAATTTTGATTGATATACTACCCTTAACCAAAACTGAAACAAATGAACCGGTTTAACACAAACGCTGGCCGCCAGTATTTTTAAATTTTCTTTCACTCACTCTCAGTTATGCTGTATTTGGTCCAGTGTGGCCGCTACGCACTTATTATAATAGAACGGTTGCCTTTGCTTACTTCACGCTTGTTTATACGTGTAAAGCGAGCGAGAGAAAGAGAGAAAAATTGGTGAAGCTGCAAGAAGGATATAATAGCGCGCAGCTGTAAATTTCAACTAGTCACTTTGAAAAAAAATTATTAATTTTACATACGATTATAAGCCACAAGGCAAGTTATTGACGACTTGAAGACTATCCATTTGTTATAAATTTCTAACGACTATAATCGAGAAATACAAAATGAGTGTGACGAGAAAAACTTCAATTCACCGATTTGTATGGGTCCCAGAGAGCGAAATGTGAAAAACCGGTTCAAAACCAAATAATCTAAACTGTAAAACAAACTAGTTCAGAAATATAAACCACTTCCGAGCCCTGTGGACGACTTTTAACATTTAGAACATCGTAAGCGCCAAAAATAACGAAATCACGGCCATGAACGTCAACAGCTGGCTTTATAAGACGTTCCTACAAAATTATCCACTTTTATAAACAGTATGGCATATCAATTGGTTGATTTATAACACGTCTTTTAAATTCTTCCTTAAGTAATTTGGACCCTGCACAAAATTTCCATTATAAAAATATTAAATTACCCTTTGTCGAAAACGTTTGGCGCTTACCACATTCTTGAAAAAGGTACATTTGAAAATACAATGTTTTAACACTATCTTAACAAGTAGAATAAACATTTTTGTCATAAAGTTAAAATCACGTTGTACCTAGAATTTGGTAAACGCTACAATATATTAAGTAATTCATATCTGCATAACACAAATTCTTTATCATTAGCATTTTGATAATAGTGAAAGAGAAACGGACATCTACGTAATAATTATTTTACAGACCTTCACAGTTTTAGAAGTTGCATTCTAGGTAATAACTACATAACGTTTCATTATTTCATTTACGATCGAAAACTAAACATACTTCCTCATAGACAGCCGTTATGTCTTTGCAACGATCACAATCAAAAGATTTTTGGATTTTCTTTGATTTAAAGGTACATAAACAATAAGTTACAGTGCACAATCTACGTGAAGACATAAACATTCTTCATACAGGCTATGTAAAGGAGGTATCAAATTTTAAAGAGCACCACCATATAACTAGCTCAACCATTCTAGAATTTGTCACGAGCAGTTGGCATTGTTGTCAATAGGTGTTACTGTTATTTAAATTCATTTAACTAATCGAAGAAATAATTATCAATTAAACAAAATTAATCAATCGAGTGCCATCGACTGGCAACTTAATTCTGTGTAATTTTTAAATGAAGCACTAATTTTATCATGTTTTCAAAACACGCTAGTCGCCTGTGCTACTGAGATGAGATTAGAACGTACGAGTGTAATTGATTTATTTTTCTTATGGCAACTTTATCTACCTCAGTTTAAAGACAATTTTGCCAGTATCGACTTTGATGATATGGACGAATTTTTGGAGCATGCTGTTGGAGTATCCAGGACGAACAACGTGATGTCGTCGCAGATATGGCTTTCGCAAGTGTGAGTAAGTACTTTGTAATAAAAAACAGTCAGTTCAACACAGGAACTAAATATTACGATAATAATTGTCCTTCCGTCAAGTGACGTTTTTGATATCGGTCCATTACATGTCACAAAAAATATTTTTCGGCGAACGAAGTTGCAAATTTATAGGTTACTGCTACAATAAACTTTAGCAATTTTTTCAGTATAGATATCGAAAACCGTGTAGAAAACTTCCATCAAATGTTAACAACGATCATTGTTGTGTTTTGGCAGCGACGTTTTACTTCGACGATTAATTAAATAAAAATTGAAGAAAAGAACGAAAAGCAGGGGAATTCGTAAGCGCTCTAAGTATAAGGAAAACAGCATTTGAAATTGTTACAATACACTAATGTCTCGAAGCGTCCGCCTTCGACCTACATGAGCACGCAGCGCTTGCCGGCCTCGGGCTCGGGCTGGGGCCCGGGCGGCGCCAGCGGCGCGGGCGTCTTCAGCGACTCCGGGTCGAAGGCGGCGGGCGACGACACCGGCGCCGTCAGCGGCAGGTCCGAGTTTATGCCCACGATCTGCCAACAGACGGAACGCTCTGTCCAGAGACGCCGCTTCGGAAATTCACTTCGATGCTCGGAGCAAACGCCCTTGCCTCGCCACTGCGGCTGCCCGCGCTCCAGGTGCAGGAAACCCGTCGCGAAGGTCAGACCGAAATGTTAAGGGCGCGTTCCCATTATGTCTTAACGTTTTATTTATCGTTGGACGACTGTCGCGCCTAGCCTGTTCCCATAGGGCTCTTAGACATAAACATGATACGACGTCGCGTCGTGCTATGACGCGGCATCGTTCCCGATGCGACGTTGTATCGTGGAAATCTACAACCAGTAACGTCAACGATGCCGTGCACGACGCGACGTCGTATCGTGTTTATGTGTAGCCCTTATGTAAAGCTCTTATCCCGACTATCTGTCGTAAGATCGTGACTGTGTCGTGAACGTTTATTTTATCGTTGAATTTGACTGTCGTGTCTAGCTGTTCCCACTAGATCGGTTCATGGCCTTGTCGTTTACACGACAGAATTTAACTGCCTCCGTGGCCGAACTGTTACCATGCTGGACTGCCACGCAGAGGGCCCGGGTTCGAGTCCCGGGCCGGGAGAAATATTTGTATGGCCATGGCGCCCGGGATACAAGGTTCGCCCAGGGCAGGGCTATGAGTGTGTGCGTTATTTATTTAGAATTATTTGAAGTTGCGATTATCTGTCGTCAAATTTTTATCGTGACGTTTTATTTGTCGCCGAACGATTGTCGTTCTAGCTGTCTGTCGTCGCAATGTCAAAATAATCATGACCGACAGTTAACTGTATTGTAGTATATGTGAACAACTTCATTTAAATATACAAGCCACAACACTTTAAACTACACGACAATCTGTTGTCACGACATAATGGGAACGCGCCTTAAGTATTTTTTTTAAATGCAAAATCGGGAGAACGGGCTTCGGGGAAACGTAGAAGATTTGGTATCTCATTTTCAGGTTGCATAATAAGCAAATACATACAGTAACAGATATAACCAGCACATACCGCTCAAGTTGCTTGAAGCGTACAAGTGAATAGTGTACGTTTAGCATTTTCTATCTGTCGTACCGTCACGGGTACAAGCTGTCAGAGCGAATTAGCGCAAATAATTTATTTTGAGTAGGTACAATATCTCAAGAGAGGTGAGAGATAATTCATTCTCTGAAACATGTTTGGAAATGCTTGCATTACTTAAATATGTTAGTGTTTGTAATTGCGAGAATTAAAAATACCTACGTGTACTGCTGACTAAAAAAAAATTAAAATAAACAAAAATGCTTTTTTAATACAGTTGCTCAAAACGTGGTATTTTTTGTAGTATAAATCATGCGAAAGTAGTGCTTTTTACTTTCCTTTTTTTTTAATTTACTGTTGTTTCAAGTCTTAAACATAGAACTAAAGAGGTTGCATATTTATTTAATATTTATGTGCTTTGTGACGTAAGTCATTCGTCATTAAAACTTATATTTACCAAGCATCTTATTTGTTTAAATTGCATAGGTGTCTAATAAGAGGACGGGTTACATTTAAAAATACCAAAACGTTTTCCATAAAGATGGCTGATGGAGTGCTAACATTACTAAAACATACTGCTTTATTTTACTTTCAACGTAGTTTTTTTGCAAATGTATTAAAAAAACGTCGTTTGATACACGTGCGGATTTGTCATTTTTACCAGTCTCGAGTCTCGAGTCTCGCCTCTGGCTCGGGCCAAGAAGCCCCGGGACTCGTGAATAATGACGAGCTTTCCGCACTTGTACCGAAATACCTAGAGCACTTCCTTGAAAGTTGTTCGCCTTCTGGTTCCGTTGCGCGAACGGGCATACGCACCTCGGCGGCGGCCAGCGAGCGGCGGAAGGGCTGCGCGATGCGCTCCAGCAGGCGCATGCGCTTGCTGAGCAGCGCGGCCGCGGCGCCGTCGGCGTCGGCGTCGGCGTCGGCCGGCGCGCCGTCCAGCGGCTTGCGCTTGCGCCCCACCACGGGCGCCGTGGGCCGCGAGCCGCTGTCCGCTGCGGGCAGGCGAGGTAAGCCAGGGCGCGCCAGCACTTCGGCCCGGTGTAAACGCAGGTGTGACGGGTACGTATTGTTCCGAGGTACGGCTCTTAAAGACGCGTCATATCGCAGGGGAGGCCTCTCGAATTAACTGACGATTATGTACGACGTTAGCGAACAATTTTAAAACTTGTTCCGCATAAAAATGTTTCGTAGTCCAAATATGAGCCATTCTTTTTATTCTGCCAAAAATGGAGTCTTTCTATGACTAAAAAAATTGTATAATGACTACAAAATTACTATCCCTGTACAAAACTGTGTATATCACACAATTTCGAACGATCAACAACGACATACTTTACTTACTTCCATTATGAAATCTTTTTATTTTTTCACACCGTACTTTTAAATATTTACGCTAGACGATTGCCTTAACTTTCTTTTACGCACACTAAAATTATTAGTAATGAATTAACTACTACCACAAATTATTGTACTTTTTTCTTTATCAGAACAAGAATGCAATTTTCAAGAAACGTTTCCTCTAAACATTTTCATTTCCTACGTTTTCCCTAAAATTATACGTACCTGGCACACCACCATGCTACTCCCATAGCGTTAATTAAAATTAAAAAAACCTCGAAAAAAAAAGGACAAGCCACAAAATTGAGTTTTATAAAACACTGTACCTCGACCGACTACACATTTTATAAAACTGATAGCAAATCCAAATTTCCGCAAATTCTAAATATAATGATATTTAGAATACTTTATTCTAATTACGAACGATTACAATTTTACTATATTTTACCTTCGAATAAAAAATACTTTTACGCAACATTACAAACGTAACTTTTGGCAACTAAAAAACTACCCTGTACGAGATGATAAAATAAATATTATCTTTTTAAAGATGGGGTAAAATAACAAACAGGTCATAGCACAAAAGTGTTGCCCGCTTACAAGCTGCTTGATTGCAATCTTCCGACTGAATATTGACCAAGCTTATGCAATAAATAACCGAATTCGTTACATTTCTATCATCATCGGCCCTTTATTCGTCAACTGCTGGGCACAGGTTCATTTGAATTGTCAATCTTTGTAAGTTTATACATGCATACACTGCATTTAGAACTGTCTATTAAAATACAAAGTGGAGACATATTTTAAAGTTTGTCATTTTAATTCAATATAGATAATCAAATCCGCAAGTTCTTGTTAAAATGTATGTGTACAAAAATTAATTTTGATACTAGACCTGTCAAAATAAGAATGAAGAAGGCAATTAGTGATCATTAGAACGTCGTAACATAAACAATTCAGACATTTTCACGATCCATCGATATAAGTATCGATAACAGCTACATCACTATTTAAAATTTTAAGAGATCTGACAACCTTACAAATGTCATTTTACTCCCGTCTTAAAAAATGAGAGACTATAAAATGTGCCCATAAATAAAATAAGTAAAAATGAGATAGATGTACAAAGCACAGCAGCATCATTTACTTTGAGTGCTTGTAGTGGGCGTGGCGCTCGTGTCGCCGATCTCCTTGGTCGTTTTGTAAGTGCGCCGACCGTGGATATCACGCAGTCCAATCAAATATGAACCGACAGGCGTGGGCGGAACTTTAACACGTTTAATAATTAGTATGGACCTTTGACAATTTCTTTACAAAGAACCTGTCTGTCAGTCTAAGTCACGTGTAAATTTACTTTGAAAAATAATATTGCCATGTTTATTGCATAGAGATAATATGTTTCTCAAGGAACTCACTATGAGTCAAAAATAAATTTGAAAATATTTTAGTCTCTTCACATTTCTATCATCTTGCTGTTGCCAATTTCTTGATATTTTAGATTTATACCTATTGACTTCCCCAGTGAAATAACTATGCTTGCTTTATCAAAAACTAGCAACACACTAAACGTCAACTTTAGCAGAATCCTGCCGAGATCGGCTGCGTGCAGTCAATCTGTTAGCAGCCTTATTATCCCAACATTGTGGAATAAAACGATATTTCTAAAGTTGTATGCTGAATGGGCCAAAGTTAAAGCGAGACGACCTGAATGTCGAAAAATATAATTGTAGATCATCGTCATTGCAGGTGAAAGACATGTTGGACATAGGCCTCCCTCAAACATCATCACAACGATCGGTCTTGTGTTCCTTTTTGTTTGCATCCAGCGAATTCCCATCATGACTATATTCCATCCAACGATTCCGAATCCGATATTTATCAAGCCGACAAATTATGTAACAAAGATTATTCATCTTGATTTCTCCGTTGTATATGTTTTGGTACCTGCCCAATAAATTATAATGAAAATAAATAAATTTGAAATAATTATAATGAATTCTAATGGTTTAAAGTTCCACCGAGAAAGCACATTACCCCATTTCTTAATACCCTAATATAAAATCGATCGTTATAAGAAATCGAATTAGAACATCACTAATTGATTAGTAGTCGAGATGTCAAAAGTTAGATAAATGGTTGAACGGACTATAATGCTCTGAGTTTTTAACTATTTAGAATTTTTATTATGTACAATTAACAGCACATCAAGCTATGCACTTTTGTTCGACTATCGCCTCTTGCAAAACCCACGGCGGTGATGTCTTTGCCCTTTTACGAAGTGCACTCTAGACAATTTCAATTAGTCTATTACTGTGCGCGGAACATACCTTTTGAAGCATTTTATAGTTTTTATAACTTTTGATGTTATGTTTATGATATTTTGTTGCTGTCATAAAAATAGTTGGAGAAATATGTTGCTAAAAATCCCAAAGGATTCTTTAAATACTTCGCCCTTCTCCCCCTTCCTAAAACTACTTGGCAAGCGTCTCGCCAACATTCATATACTTTAATATCTGCATTATTTGTTTACCTGTGATGGTGGTGGTCGTGGTAGACCTCAAACTCCTGTCGACCTTCTTAATGGTCATCTCCTTAAGCGGCTTGTACGAGCGCCGGCCGCGGATGTTGCGAAGTCCGCTGAGGTAGGAGCTGTCGTTCATCGATGGCTCTTCCGACATGAACGAGGAACTTTCTGTGATGTCCATCTCCATAGTTGTGTTGTTACCTGGAAGACATATAGCACTAAAGTTATATCAGATTCTTTATAACTTGCATCTGTTAAGTATTGTACTTTTATCCAGTAACAAGATAAATTAGTCATTACTATTACTAAGCGGGGTGTTAGTTTTTTGCCGAAGCGCAGCGGTCATTCTTAGTTTTTTTTCCACAGTTTTATACGTTTGCACGAGCAAAAGATTTAGCAATTGACTTCAATCATCTCAGCAGGTCGATTCAGAACCTTACGACAACTCCGTTGTGGACCGATTAGATTAGATATCGTACGATTTATTTTAATTTTTATTCACAATAACCGGATCGAACGTGAAACTGTCGTATTCGAAACCGAACCGAAATGACGTCACACCCGTACGATTACTCGTACCGGCGCCTTCTCGACCGGCAAAGGCTACAAACGTTATTCAGAACACAGTTATCGAATGAAAGTTACCGAACGTCCTATTGTTTACAAAGCAAGAATGTAATATGAAAATCTTTTATTATTTTAAATAAAATCTGGACTTTTGGATTGCGAGACTATATTTTAGGCCTTTAAAGTCTTAAAAATGTATATGAAAGGATTTCATTTTTCTTATAATCTATATTCGCCGACTAACTCCATAAACGTTGTTGGATAACGATATCGTATCCGAATCCGAATCGAACGTTTTAACTCGAGTGTTCTGAATAGGTCTGAAAGCGCCCTTCGAGATAAGATATCTAAGGGGTCGTATTCTAGAACTCTACTCAATGTTCAAGTCACGATTGCACTGGAAACACAAGCACTGGAAATACGACCCTAATGGCAGGGACTTGAGTATGATTTTGAGTGCTTTAAACCATACTCAAATCCTGACTTGAGCATTGAGTAGAGTTCTAGAATACGACCCTATGAGTTCCGAATCGGGGTCCAGGTCTGAGAGCGAAATTCGAATTTTGATATTCGTTACGACCTGCAGAATTGTATTTTTTGTTTTTGCTACTTCAAAGAAGGATGGCGACATTCCGTGTATTTAGTGACCCAGTATTTTTGACGACGTGCATAGACTACTTGTGATTCATTATTATAGCATCAAAAAAGCTAATTGAGTACAGTCTGTAGAAGCTGGTATTATAAAGTTGATTTAGGTTATGTTTATAACATCGACTCCTCCTACGTAAAGTATCGTATGTCGAAATTGCCAAGTTTACAGGGGAGCGTTTCAAAGTTCTGAATTCACTGAAAGAGTGATCACCATAGAGCATCTAACCGATATCTAGGATTTTATAATACTCTATGTGAGTAATGAGCTTTGCCGAATAAAACTGAGAAATGCTAAAATCACGTGTTATGTTTGTTTCAGTGAATTCAGAACTTTAAAACGCTTCCCTGTAAACTTGGCAATTTCGACATACGATACTTTACGTCTGAGGGGTCGACATTATCCTGTATTTCGCTTCATAATGTTTGTTCGCAGTAGCAGTAAACAACAAGTTTTCAGTTTGTTCCAAAAAATAATAAAGAACTTGCTGAATATTCCCAAATCTGCCAAACACGTTAACACGTTCTGCCGCAATGAAAATTAATAAAAATTAAATCTGCCCAAATGTCAGAAATCTGCGACAAATGATCACATTGTTTTCAATCTTAATGTGACATTGACAATGACAAGAGGCTCTTGTCAAAATGTTCCTTTGCTAACTTTCTTCTCTATCATTTAAATATTGTCTAAACATTTCTGTTACACTGTCTTTTATGTTTTATTTTATATCATTACTGTTTAATTGATTAATGATTAGGTATTTCATAACTAATGTTTTCATTATTTTTATAATTATTATTTGAATCAATTGCGTTGTGTTCTTGCATTTATTCTAAAATACATTGTTTTACAATTTCTTCTTCGTTGACTTTAATTATTATTAGGTTAGCTTTCGCCATCCTTCTTTCATGCATATCGGTTGTGGAATGGCCGGGTGATTCCGGTGGTAGATTGCGTAATTGCGTTTCGATTATTCGAAATCCTCTTTGACAGCCAAGGGTAAGAAAAAATGATGGTTTTCTACTTAGATTGTTAGAGTATTAGACTTGTTAGCAATATGTTTTGCGCTCCTTATCGTAACCATGGGCCAATAACTCAAGGGGATTGCTAATCGCGAAATAAGAGAGAGTAGTCGAGTATTTAGTACCTATTGGTACACCAGATGTCGCGACGAATTCCAAATAGCAATTTTTGTAACTAATTTGTTTTACATTGATGAGTTGCAATTTATCAAAGCTACTTTAATTTCTAGCGATAACACACAAATCAACTAGATGGCGCTTATTGCACAGATTTTTGTGGATAGTGCTCTTCTTTTATTTTGTCTAGGATTAGCGCCATCTACCCATATTAGGAAGCGTTAATTTATAAATTAGTTCGTAACACACAATGACCTCTATTGACATGCATATTCAAAGTTCAGAAATTTCAATGAAAAAAAACGACTTCTTATATTTCAAATTAAAGAGGAATTCATTGATATCCACGGCCATTTACTACTTGCGGGCTATTGATCAGCGCCATCTAGCGATATAAGACGGAACTTGACCTTTTTCAGAGTTACTTTCTCGATACCTTCAACATTTTTTAATGTAAACAGCCTTATTTATTTACAAATATTAAACTCCTCGAATTTTGTGAAAAAAGAAACAAAAAAATTGAGGAGCATAATATTAGTGAATAAATAAGGGTGTTTATATTAAAAACAGAAAATGCCCAAGAATTAAGTTGGCGTAGTGTTCATTGGAGGTATCGGTCTGTAGTATGGAGATTAGCAGTCGTCTTGACTTATAGGTCCATGTTACTACAACTAACGTCATCGAATTTTTAGCGAAATTCAGTTACTAACATGTAAGGGATCAATCAAACGAGATCTACACCCTGACTGACATTTTTCAGGTGACAATAAAACTTCAGGTGCCAATACCCATAAAGTTACCGAAATGCAAATGCGTCAGTTACGACAAGCAGGAGCAGGAGGGCAGAAGCCACCGACCTGTGTAGTTGGCCAGCAAGGAGGTCTGCGTGTGGTCGGCGGCCGCGTGGCGCAGCGAGCGCCGGTACGGGGACACCTTCACGCGCGACTTCGAGAAGTTCGTGTCCGTCTTGCGCGGCTCCTCTGCAGCGGCACCGTAACAGCGGAAAACGTCACTTGCAAGCTTCCAGAGTTTGCTTATATGAGTACACATCTCGATCAGATCGAGAATGGCTTTTTAAAAGTACCGCGAATAAACGAGCGTAATTGAGAGACCGATGAGTCAGTAGCATAGCCAAAGGAGGTTCATTGTCTCTACTTTGGCAGAAAGCGTGATGGTATGTACGTATTTATGTACCTGACAACCACATCAATGACCTGATCAAAAACGAAGGAATTCCCTGTGCTATGAGTACCAGAGCCACAAAATTAACTCTGAAGCAATACCCAAGACTCAGAACACCCAGACTAGAAACAATTTAGAAAAGTTCGTTTTCCAAATAGATCTTACCGGGAATTGAACCGGACACCTCTTCATCTAAAGGTTGAATTCCGATGTCGACGACCGCGACCGGCGACGGCAACCCACTGTTTAGTATGAAGTTATATCGAACGCAGACGAACGCATGCGTATATATATGCACGACTTGTGGGGGTGGCTAGCTATCGATTATGTTGATGACGAATGATGAATAGATTTAGTGTCTAAAACCCTATATGATTTAAGACTCACTACAAGACGGTGGGTCTTGAGTCCTATACGATAGCAAGGATAACAAATGAGCGTAACATCGTCTTCTTCTTCCCGCAATAGCTACTGTAAAACTCTTTTTCTTGTTGTGGATAAATAGTTCGACATAGTTGTATTAAGCGCCAGCATCAGAACACAACCGATCGCAATCAAAAGTGCGGGAAGATTGGTCGTCAATCGCAGTCGCTTGGAACCGTAAGCTACTGGTCACCAGGCGACAGGCGACCAGGTATGGGGTCGCCAATCGCCGTGGTCGCCAACATCGGAATGCTACCTTAACGTAGATATTTGCTAATCATATTTATTTATATCGATTACGAGATTGGTACTACGTTCAGCTAAAGGTTTTATCATAAATTGTCGGCATATACTCACCATGCTATAGACCAAATTCCTATAGCATCCTCTCATAGGAAGTATTTCCCAAAACGATATAAACAATAGAAACAAACTACTCACCATCCTGATCCAAATCAATAATTTCAATATCCCTCTCCCCGTTCTCCTGTTTGTCCTTGTCATCTTTCTCCTTCTCCTGTTTCTTGGTTTCCTTCTCCTTTTTGCTCTCCGGTCTAGGCGAATCAGCCGAACGCAGCTTGCGGTCCGTTGAAGCCGGCGTCTCAGCTAGTTTTAGAACTTTTGACTGAAAAATTAAATGAATTATTCATTGCAAAATGTAAAGAATAAATAGTGATAATATATTATGAAGAATAAAAGCAATGAAATAATAGTGGTAAATTTGCAAGCATCTGTTGGACATTTTAAGATATACAAAGAAAAGGCTAGCTTATTAGGTTGAGACCCTGTGCGAGATCAGTAATACAAGGTTAAGTTGCAGTTAGGTACCAATATGGAAGGTACAATGCTGGAGCACTGCAAGAATATTTTTTTATAATGCTGTTATTGTTCCGCGACAGCTTAGCTTCCGTTAAGTCATTGACATACCTACAAGTTACTTTTGATTGTAAAATTAACCAGAGACAAGCAGCTCGATGTCATTTCGAAACAACACTGTGCTCTTGTTTATCAAAAATTTACGTCCACATTTTCTTTTCGTGAAACAAGATAATATACATGAGATTATATATATTATCTGGTTTATAATATATATAGATATAATATAAGATATTCGTATTTTTTTTTGAAAGCGTGATTTCTCTATTCCATCATTTTTAAGGTACGACTATATTTGGATTCATGTGCTACACTTATCGCACATGAATCAATGTAATGTAATGTAACATGTTGCTACTTCAATCAGAAAAAGAGGTAATTAAAAAACTGATAAAATAGATTTAAAAAATATAACATACATGGCACCAGCCAAATGTGACAAAGTTTCTATTTGGTATGGAAAACGTTACATTAATTCTATTTCATAAGCTATTTTTTATTTCATTTAGTCAAAATCAGAAAAATTTTACGTTCCGGATTCGAAAACCCAGTTGGGTCACTTTATTATTCAGATAATTGAGATATGTAACACTAATTAAATTTTTTATTGAATTGATATTCAATTATTTTTTGTGAACTACTCCACTAGTTTGTTATAATTATTAATACAAAGATCGAACACTGAGAAAAAACACTCAGAAAAAATTCCTTCGATCCGGTCGGATTCGAACCGAATGAATAAGTATGCAAGAAGACGTCGGTTCGAATCCGACCGGATCGAAGGAATTTTTTCTGAGTGTTTTTTCTCAGTGTTCGATCTTTGTATTAATAATTGATCTTTGTATTAATAATTATATGTAACACTTCTAAAAGTTTTTTTAAATGGTGTATTCTGTGGAATACCAAATTAAATTTAAAAGATGCTGAAAATATAACAACTTTGAATAGCATAATAAATATGCTTTGAGGACATGTATACATAATGAGATCGACGGTTACTACAATTGAGTGCAGTTGTGCCTAAACTATACCAAATTTATGTGAACAGGTGAACTTGTTATATCTATCATAATAAGATATTGTTTAGCAATTTCAGGATGTTTTGTACGTGACATTTTCAAATAATTATTGTAAATTATAAATTTTATCTATTTACAACGAGCAACCCCCAGTTTCTTAAAAGTTCTTCTTCTCAGTGGAATCTGAATGAATCGTAGTTCAAAAAGGAGAGGACTATGATCGAGGCGTTCTTTATTGGACCTACCTAGTCCGTGTCCACAATAATTGACTTTATGGGATAAACAAAAGAACAGTCGTAGACAATCAGGTAATTTTTCGGGGAGTTTACAACGAGCGTTGCCACTAGATGGCGCCACTTGTATGTAGAAACGCGCAAGCGCTTTGTTTGTTTTATGTATGTATTTTCGGTGATTTGTTCGGATTTTAATAAACATTGATTATACGTGATTTGGTGTCGTATATGTATTACCCAGCACAGTAAGTGACTGTTCAAGAGTAGTGTTTCGGCAATTTGAAGGCTTGAAATGTAGTTCGTTTGGCTTTGATTGTACAGTATGGAATACTTAATGGAACGGTATGGAATATTTAAAAATACAGTACTGTATTAAAACTTTCAAAGAATTGGCTACCAAAGACTATCATTACCATTGAATTTGTAAAAACGCATTTTAAACATAGTGTAAGATTCTTTATTTCTTTTATTACTAGCAAGAAAGGGACTTCTATATAATTTTGACAGCTCATCCATTTAGTCTGAATTCAAAAGTCTAACGTCTAAAATAAAACACAACGAAAAAGTATGCCGTATTGACGTTACAATAATATTAATTTTCATTATATTATTATAAAATATTTATGGCAATTATAATTATATATAATATATAATTTGAAAGTGGGACATACTTATAGAGTGCGTTATATTCCTGATTCTGAACCCAAAGAAATAATAAACTAACGAACTTAAACTTTACAAAAAATATTTTTTTTATTTTTTTTTTATCGACTACTACTTGTGAACAACATTAGTTATCGAAATCTATGCACATCACTATTATTGCTCCGACGCAATGGTGAGCTGCGGCATGGCGGCGAAAATCAAAGCAGAAATCGGGGATGGGGACGCGGGCGCATAGAAACAGTGCGCACGCGCGACTTTGGCCTAGCGAAGGTACGTAAATTATTTGTACTTCCGCCCGCTCGCGCAAAATACATATTTATTCTAACGTTGAATTGACGGAGATGGTGCGACTTTACGCAATAAGTAGTGATAGTGTGAGACGAGCTATTGAAATATTCCCAAATCGGAGTTTTACCCGGAGGAGGTGAACAGTGTCGAAGTGTTGCATGAGAGGATTATCTCAACATTTTATACTGTGAGACAAAATGTGTTTGTGTTGAACAATTTAAAACAAAATTTACTATGACGTGCTAGAATATGCATTGTGGAAAATGGTGGACATTTTGAACACTTGCTCCGTACCAAGTAAGTGTAAATAAACTGTAAATAACTAAAAAATTAAATATTTTGATTTCACATTTTTAACTACGCCAAAAATTTTAACTTCTTATATATATCTTTCTTATATATCTTATATTTTATATATCTTATATTTCTTATATATATTATATTCTTATATATCTTATATATATTTTTAAATTCTTATTAAATGATAACTAGTTACTAAATCATAAATTTATCTTTTTTAGTACGTAAAACATTTCGACGATAGTTCAGAAGTAAAAAATAATTAGCATAAGTTAAAACGTAATCATTTCGATAACAGTTTTTTTCATCATAACTTAAATATGTGTAGGTGAGTAATTAAGTTTTTTATTTTCTAGAAAAAAGAGGTGCTTTTAGTAGGAAGGGAGATGTGAAATCTTTGTTATTGTTGCTGTCTCACTCGGCGCTCGCTTAGCAGTATTCCCATTGCACTCGAAATCAAGCGTAATGGGAATATAGGTTTATTCGTATGTACATTCCAAAACAAATTTGTTGATTTAGTTTTTGTTCTATCCCATATACTAATTTTATTTTAGTCTATATTAAGTGGTAACATGATTTACTATGACATGTATGAATATGTCTCACTTTCAAATATACAACCTGTATAAAGAATTCAAGTGATCAATTCCCATCACCTGTACCTACAACATAACTGAAGAGGTATTCGTAGTAAATACGTCAAATTAAAAATATATTAGGGACTCGATGTCCGTGTTTTAGTACACGTGTACAAAACATACACATTCTTATAATTTTATGGGTGAAAGGTGAAGAACCTTAAGTTCCAAATAGTTACTAGAGAGCGTTTTAAAGAAATTGAAGCTCTTAATTAGGCATTTAAAATCAATCTTAAGGATGGTTAAAATATTATATTAAATAAAAAACAAACGATTATACTTAATGTCTTTTACCATTGGATGATTTTTAGCATTCTAATGCAATGTTTGTAAAAACATCGCAATTCCAAAATATGGAATTTCGATCAACAAGTACAAGGTTCATATTAATTTCACTAAGATCGCGTAACATACATACAAAAAAAAAATAGTCGAATTGAGAACCTCCTCGTTTTTTAGAAGTCGGTTAATAAAATATTTATTCGATTGTGTGTGCAGGTTCTTATAAACAGTGACGAAGTCAACACACTGTAAGATTTAAAAACATGCAGGGGCGCGTTTTGCGTTTGCAAATGTCATATATTTGACTATCCAATTTAAACGTACTAGAAATTTCGAAATGCGAAAATCAACACCTATATACAAGTGACTTGCAATTAGCAACGCGAGCCGCAAGGATCGCTCACCTCATCGTCTTTGGCGTCGGTCTGTTTGTCGGAGGCGGGGCGCGGCGTCTCCGGCGTTCGCGTCGCCTTCGCCTACCGCCACAACGTTAGTATGTTAGTACATTACGAGCTATGGACGAACACGAACATGTGCGGGACGCGATGTTCGGTGTTCTTTAACACACACAGGCGAAATTAATTATCGACTATTAAATTTGTAGATAAATTATTAACGTTTTATATATTATGCTCGTTTTCGTACACGTGCACAACGCTATTTGTTCGACTGTGTGTGTAGGTTCTTACATATAGGGATGAAGTTCGAACTTTAAATTTAGGGCGTTATAAATGTTAAGAATCACCTTCTTGATGTCTCTGCTCAAAAAAAGTATTAATTAATTACAGTTTCGTTTTCATTGTTCGCTGTTGTTTAAGCAATGGAAAATGCCCCCTTCTCCATGATAAGTTGTGTAAGACACAATTGCCGGCACATCAAATCTTTGTATCCTTCTTCCATTAATTTTGCGCGTACGTATGCATGACCGTTTTTAGTGTCAGTATCACGCAAATCAAACCTTATTTCCTTACGCTAACCTCCACCTCTCATAAAACAAACATACAACCAGGTACCTGCTATATTCCATTTATCAATTTTGTTCAACTGACGTCATGGGCTAGTTCCGGGAAGAAAAATAGTCTTGCCGTCAATGATATACAACAATGGCACCAAAACCTCTCCTTGGGGTAGACCCGTATCCAGGGTGCCGACGTGTTCACGTTGAACCTAAATTATCGCTAACCATTCGCTGTAACGGTGATAACGCGAAGTAAATTGAATGGTGGAAGTGTATTATGCATCAAATATAGCTACTGGCTTTGTCACAAGGTTCACAATCCTACGAAAACATTAGAAGTCCCTAATCCGCATTGGCTCGATTATGGCAATAAACATCTCCTAAAGGAGACCGTGAGACGTAGTGTTAATGATGAATATTGTCACTATTTGATGTGCCGTTTATAGTATCAATATCATGCAAAACCGAGTACCAACCTACCTTACCCAGACCAACCAACCCTCAGAGCCTAACCCTTAGAACAAACACACACACAATCAGGTACCAAGTACCTGCGATCGTCGAGTCAGACTGCGACTGGGCCCGTCCGGTGTGGCTGGATCGAACTCGGGGTCTGAGTCGTCATATGCCAGTTCGGGGAATAGCTCATCGTGCAGTCCATCGTCTATGAGGTCCTGGTCCTCCTCTTCACTCACCGTTGCACCGTTGAGGAGCTCTTCGGACCCGTTGCTGGTCAGCATCACGTCTGACACGCCATTGTGCACTTTTGAACCGTTCTGCTTTGGTTTCTCGACGGATTTTTTGTCCTGCAACTATTAAACAAATGAATTAAATCGAGATTTGTTGATTGCGTCTCTCTCCACAATAAAATTGGTTGATCTCGAATCTCGTCTAAAAAATAAGAATTAAAGTAACTATTACCTTCCCGCTCTTCTCTCCTTTGTCGTCTTTCTTTTCCTGTTCTTTTTCTTTACTGTCTTTCTGCTCTGGTTTCTTCTCCACTCCATTCTTTTCCACTTTATCTGTCTTGTCTGCTTTCTTATCCTTCTCAGTCTGTTTATCAGTCTGCTTCTCGACTCGCTTCTCTGTCGGCTTCTGCTTCTCATTAGGTTTCTCTGCTGGCTTCTGCTTATCATTAGGTTTCTCCGTCGATTTCTGCTTTTCGATTTTTTCAGCAGGTTTCTCTATGCTTTTCTCCGCTGCTTGTTTTTCTTTCTCCGCGTTGGCGGCCATTTTCTTTTTCATGTCTTTTACAGGACTCTCTGTTCCCTGTAAATATTGTTTTATTACCGACGTATAAATTTTAAGTTACAAATATAGACAACAACCATAACCATTTTTAAATTTGTTACAAATTTTACGAAACATTATAGCAGTGACTATCGTCTACTAAATTCGAAAACCTCGTAACCTTAATATGAACTTTTAAGTAGGCACAAATAACCTAGATTTAATTATATAACAAGCTATGATTATACCTTTATTTTATAACTAAAAGAAGGTGTACAAATTATATTTTAAGCTTTAATTGACAGATTTTATATTATATTACTATTATATTTATATTTTTACGCCGGAAGAGTAAAAAAGGTATATCGACCAGAACGGAGTTACAAAGCTTTCCGTTAACATCAACTTTAATTAAAATTTGAAATCCTCTAAGCCCACTACTAATTTTGTATTTCTTGTTTTGTTGTGTTTGTTTAAAAGGCTTCAATAATAATTTATGTCATTGTAGTTAACTATTTTGGCCTAACTTATTTAAGACAAATGTTGTTCTTTGTAAGATGTATTTAAGTTGGCCGAGTTATTTCGTAATAATAAAAATAAAAAATAAAAATATATGTGGATTAAGCTTTAACTGACTGCAAAAAAATATTACGTTAAGCTACCGATATAAATTCTAGAAGTAGAAATGCGATAGACTACACTTATTTTAACCACCTTTGACGGATAAATATAAATAATAACAAAGAAAAGAGAAAGTTCATTATAGTGTAAATATGTTTTTGCCATAATTACTATTATAAAATGTTTACAATCAATTTAAATAGGTATTAACAATTTACTTTAATCATGTGACGACCAATTATTGCATCTTTTGCCTATCTTACTATTGTTATCTAGCCCAACGTGTTTCTTGCATATAACAGTATCAATTTGATTTGATTAATGAGATATGAACGGTACAAAACGATACGATTTTCAAAAATAGATAAAAAGGAATCGTGAATGCTTTATAAATAGAGTTGCAATGAATATTTGGTTACTATTCGGTATCGGCTTGTTCGACCGAATGTTGAATCACTATTCGGCTGAATACCCAAAGACAGGAGTAAAAAATAAATTATCATGTAAGATAAGATAAATTTATTTCAATATAACTTAATTTAATACAATATAAATAAAACTAATGCAAATAAAGCTATTATAGTATTCAACTAAGAATTAGCATGGCAATCTAGATTATACATTCTTCATTTCTTCATAGTAAAGCTATTATACATTTTAATATAAGCATCTAATGTGTAATTGCGATTGTTACTAATATTAGTGCCGAGCATACATTTTAAGTTCGAGAAAGCACAATTTTTCTCTTATTTATATAAAAAAACACAACAAGTTATTTTTATAAGTTCTAAGAAATTAAAAAGAAACGAATGAAATGAAAACTACCTACTTTCTATATAGTTTAGTCATGACTCAGTAAACTCTAAGAAAACCAACCAAGTACTTATTATTTGCAAATCTAAATAAAATTATTTCTTTTAAAGTTAATCAAACTGAAGTGAAATAAGCAATTACTTTCTTTATTAAAGATGTTATAAATTTAAATTGAAACTTAAATTACCTTTTTCGTTTCATTGAACTAAATTATTTATTATAACTGAAGTTAATACTTATTAACTTCAGGTATTATTCGTGCCAAATTTCGTACATGCGTTAATCAGGCCGAATATAATATTTCCTTGCAACTCTAGTTATAAATATTTATTTTTGAACGCTGCAAAACGAACATTTTGAGATTTTATTTTAAGTCTTAATTACGGTCGTCAGGATTATTTCAATTTTACAACGGATATAAATTTTCAATCGGTCGCAACTTCAAAATTTGCGAGTTCAAAGTGGGCGTTGTCGTTTTAAAATTTAGTAGTTACCTTTTCCTTTTCTTTTTCTTCACCACTCTTCCGTGTCACCATTTGACTCATTTTTTACAAGCTTTTTATCTGTAACAATAAAAAATACGAAAATCACAAAAACTATCAAGTTTCGTCTTTTACATCACTTGATATAGTCTAGAAGGTAGGTACAACAGCTGAGTTTTTTTTTCAATATGTGCCAGACAAACACCAATTGCCAGGTCTCAAACTAGGAAATTTCCTGTACTATGAGTAACAGAGCAGACGGTATTCACTCTGGGGCACTTCCCAGGAGAAAGGATTTTTCAGGTTATGAAAAAGAAACTTCCTTTATAACTAATTTCATATTAATTATAATTTAGAACACGGGACAAATGCAATAGAAAACGGGGTTGAAATATTGCTCGTATGATTTTTTTTTTATGGGATGAACAAGTCGTGCGTCTGGAGATAAGAACACACCTACCCTAAGCAGTTGCAGTGCCACTCGGGGCTTCAAATCGCAAAGATCTGAGGGGCACTGCACCCATCACCCTAAGATAAAGTTGACAAGTCCCATGTGCCTAACCATGTGTCCCATGTGCATGTAACTTCACCAGCACCCTTTTGTTACATTTAAAACCGGGACGCAGTAATGCTCACATCACTACATGGCGGCAGAAATAGGGTGGTGGCAGTAAAAAAGCTGTAAAGTGACGTAATGTTTTGTATGAATGATTGTCAGGCGCGTGTTCGTGCACTGTAATTGTCCCTAGCTAGTCTAAACGAGTCTCCTAAATACATAATTGTAGCTACTTCATTCACAAAACACGCTTTGAGTCTATTCTTGTACACATGCTTTCTCGTATTTGCTTTATTGTTATAGGTTCAATTATAGAACGGTGAAAACGGCGTATTGGAGTACACGTTTAAATATACGTAAAGTATAATAAACTTAGACGGGTCACTGACCCCTGCGCGTACGCACACACCGTAGGAGCTGTGTATGGTGCGAGTCATTGCGGTTTGATCTGCTTAATGTTGGTAATGTTAAACGGGCACAGGAGAGTGATGATCTTTACACCGAAGAATTATTAACATACTTTTATTGACGATACTATACAAATCTATTTTACTTCAAACAAAAAAAAGAAAAAAAAATCTATAGGTGCCATTTTCGCAAAACTATGATCATCTGGTTGACACAATTAAGCAGCAGTAGAGATCCTTGTGAAAGAGTTCGTCCAGGGAATTGCTGCCACCTTACCTATTTCTGCCGCCAAGCAGTAATGTTAACATTACTGCGTTCCGGTTTAAGGGTAAGGGTGCTTGTGAAATTATAGGCACATGGGATTTGTCAACTTATGTCTCAGGGTGACGGGCGGAGCGGCAGTGCCACTCACATCTTTGCGATTTAAAGCTCTGAGTGGCACTGCAATTGTTATGGACAGGCGTGTAGCATACCATCAGGCGCACGACTTGTTGGTCCTGTCACTTGACATTATAAAAAAAAACATTATGTTTAGTTTAAAAAATATTTTAAACCAACCCCTAATAAAAAAAATGTACAAAAATAGTTCGGAAAAAATTATCTATTACACATTAACACTTAACTACTCGCATGAGGTCTACTTACCTTTACGCGCTATAAAATAATGCTTCGGTCTATCGGAATGCGAACGCTCTCACCAACAATTTATATTTTAGTGACAAATAGGATGTCAAACTAAAGAGTATATATAGCACACGTTACTGCACTCTTCCCCGTGCGAGTAGTTATGTAGGTAACATTTTTAGATCGAAGTAAATCTATAATGGTTTATGGTTGTATTTTTGAGTAGTATCTCGTATTATTTGTTACGGAGTTTGTAAAATAAAACTTTTGAATAAATTTTTGCATTAAAATTACTGGTATTTGTGTAATATTTACAAATATATGTATATAAAAAAAAACAATTATCTACGATGTACCACGCAGCCAACATTGACTCGCATGCGAGTAGTTGTGTGATTTTCTTGTGCGAGTAACTAAGGGTTAAAGAAATCGGCAGTTTTCCCCCGCGATTTGTCATTATTTCCACTAGTTGAATTGTAGATAATTGCTGTTGACAGAACTACTGGTACTTCTTTTCAGATTTGTTCAGTTATTAAATAAACCGTTTTTGCATGTCGCTATCCGCCACTCGCTTAAACTAGCGCCGCGTTTTGTGCTAGAAAGGTCGCGCTCTCGTCGAGGGCCGAGAAGAGATGATGCTTTGGTGTAATAAATATATTTACAGAGTGCTTAGTTAATACTTCACTATAGAGTCAGTGTTTATTTGGATAAGGTTTTAACCCTTAAATGCATTGTGTATCGAAAACGATACATTGCATTCATCGACTTTTTTTGTCCATATTTTTTTATTTATGGCTTTGGAAGAATATCGTAATGTACCTTTGCCTATTTTTGAACTGAAAAAAGTGAATAATGACAAGTTACAGATGTCAAATTTTATAACGAGTTCCCGCTCAAAGTTCATTGTCGACAAAGTTTGCTAGTTGCAAAAACACTGATTTTCAATCTGTTTGAAAAGTAGAAATATATAATATTGCAGTTTGAAAAAAATATAAAATGAATGGTAAGTACAGAAACAAGCTTAGCATGTTTAGATTTGTGAGGTTTTTTTACTTTGGTGTATACAAAACTAACTACTTGTTCATGTATCGATTTCGATACATCATGCACTAACGTTGCTTTCTATGGTCTTGTACTGACTTGTAACCTATTGAGTTTCGGTGTGATTTGGTTATGGTTTGAGCTTGGTTTGAGTATGGTTTGCATGCATTGTTGTGTTTTTTAGATCATGCGATAGCAGAACTACTTAGCCGATTAGAAAATGGCGAAATTTCGGAGGATGGTATGGAATCGGACGAGGATGACCTACCCTACTACACAACGCATAAAGAGTTGGTAAAAGATCTTGAAAATTACTATGAAGAGAACCTTTTCGAAGAAGTTCCAGCTGCTGAAGATGATGAAGAGCCGCCGTTGATACAAGATGATGCTGAATCCAATATTCCATCGCCATTACCAGGTATAAGTTCTCAAATTCCAGTTTTTAGCATGAACAGCACAAGGAACTTAGTTTGGAAGAAGCAATCACTTGTGTTTGATGAAAATAACATCAAATTTGGAGGAAGCGAAGAACTTACTTCTGAAGTAACAGATCTGCAAAGTCCATTTCAATTTTTCACCTACTTCTTTACAAATGAATTGTTGGAAAATATTATAATTGAAACAACCAGATATGCTGTACAAAAAGAACCAGCTAGACCAGAATCTGTAACGATTACTGACCTACGTAAATATTTAGGTATTCTAATATTTATGTCTGTATACCACTACCCCAGTACCAGATCTTTCTGGTCCAATAAGTTTGGCTTCGCGCCAATCAAGGAAGCAATGACGGTCAACAAGTTTGAGAAAATTCGAAAGATACTACATTTCAACAATAACGAGAACCATCTACCTATCAGTCACCCCCAGCATGACAAATTATATAAACTAAGACCAATAATAGACCACCTCAACCAGCAATTTTCTAGCGTAACAATAGAACAGAGGTTATCAATAGATGAGCAAATGTGTGCAACCAAAATAGGTCATTTTCTCAAACAGTACCTTCCAAACAAACCCCACAAATGGGGGTTCAAACTATTTGTTCTTTGCAATTTGATGGGTTATGCTTACAGATTTCAAATCTATGCTGGCAAAGAGGTCGATGATCGATTGCCTAATGAGCCAGATGTTGGAGTAGTGGGACAAACTGTACTGAAGCTCCTGAGGATGGTTCCGAGACATCGTAACCACATCGTATACTTTGACAATTACTATACATCCTTGCCGCTAATGTACACTTTAGCAAAAGAAGGGATTCACACTTTGGGGACTATACAGAGAAACCGCTTGGGAAAATCATGTAAGCTACCAACAAAACAGGATGTCATGAAAAGTTCAGTACCAAGAGGTTCATTTGACGAATATACGACTAACTTTGAAGGAGTGGACATAACAACTGTCAGTTGGAAAGATAATAAGCAAGTTGTGTTGGCTTCTACGTATGTCGGTGCTCAACCTGTGGAAAACATAGACAGATTCGATAAGAAAGAAAGAAAAAGGATCCCAATTACATGTCCTAGATTAATCAAAGAGTACAATGCCCACATGGGTGGGGTTGACTTAATGGATTCCTATTTGGGTAGATACAGAATACGGATGAAGAGCAGGAAATGGTATATCCGAATCTTCTATCATCTTTTAGATTTGTCTGTGATCAACTCTTGGATTGTCTATAAGAAGGTATCGACTCAAAGAGGTGCTTTACCGAAGAACATTCTGAGCCTGGCCGATTTTAGAGCAGAACTTGCAGACACGTTGTGCAAATATGCTCCAACTGCTTCCAGAGGCCGCCCACGAACTGGCAGCCCAGCCTGTATAGCAGATGGGCCAGCTCCAAAACTCCGAAGAGGCATACAATGCCAAACATTACCTCCGCTAGAAATCAGACTGGATAAGAATGATCACAACCAGATTAGAACTGATTCTCGTGGTCGATGCATGTTGCCTTCTTGCCATTTACTCAGCATAATAAAGTGTGATAAATGTAATGTACATTTATGCTCTAAAAAGTCGAAAGATTGCTTCAAAGTCTTTCACAACTGTACCAATATTTAGTTATAAGTAATTGAATAAATAATGCTATTAATGCATATTGTATCGAAAACGATACATAAGGTTTTTTTTTTCAAAAATACACTTAATACCATTTTTTATTTTTTTTATTATTTTTCCTAATATCCAGATATTTTATCTTAACACATATATTTTTCCTGAGCAAAAATACGCTGTCATGCATTTAAGGGTTAAGTTGTTATTTTGTTAAACAACTATTATAGTGCATATTGTGACCGATACCGGCTGTCGGACTGACGAATGTAGACTGACAGATGACGAGTTTTGTGCTCTTTACTTGTTTTGTATATTTTTATAAGAAAAACCAGGTGACGGGACAAACATTGTGCGTGCGCCTGGTTTTTAGTTAGTTAGTAGTGTCACTCAAAAGTCTTAAAACGCTAAGATCTGAGACCTAAGACCCTGAGACATAAGTTGACAATTCCGTTGACAACTGCTTGTGAATGTGACCGTTACTGCTTGCCGGCAGAAATATGTAAGGTGGCATTACTTCCCTGGACAAATTATTCCACAAGGAGCTCCATTACTACTTTATCTAAAGAGTACCAATGAACAAACGAGTTTGAAATTGGGCGTCAAATCATAGCTTATTAGGAATGTTAGGAGTGACTTCGCCTTATTGGAAAATTGCCCAATGCTAGAACTAAACTTCGTTCCAATAGAACACAAACGAGTATAGTGTATCTATATGTATTATATGTATTTATTTATTGAAAATAGAAAATCGACAGACTAAAGCACTTGGGTAAAAAATTCTTAACTTTTTTAATACACCAATAAACACTAAACTTTAGTAGCATTAGAGCACATGGGAATTGTCAACTTCTGTCCAGGGCAACGGGCGCAGTAGCTGAGGACACTGCAACTGTTATGGATAGGCGAGTAGCTTACCGTCAGGCGCACGACATGCTCGTCCCGTCACTTGATATTGTAAAAAAAAATAGTTTGTTGTTCCGTGTTGGAAAATATGAAGACATCACTAAAATTTAAGTTGAAACAAATTAAATTAATTAATGATGTTGCGAATTACAGTTGATCACAAATACAGTGACAAAGTACGAGATTCAGTGAATTTATTTTAAAAACAAAAAAAAACAGGTAAACAAATCAGTACAATACAAAAATGTTCCGCAATATTTTGTAAAAAGCTACTAATTATACTAGAGTGACACAAATTTACAATAGGGCTACGCAATTTTCCGGTACGTACCAGAAGTGGCATAATCCAAGTAAATAACAGAATCACGAAGCTTTTAAAAACACGACCTATTAGAATATTACGATATTGCAAAGAAAGTAGGAAGAAAATCGATGGAATCCGGTTCTATCCAGGTTACATAGCGGCGTTTAGATTCTACAGGTTATTACTCTCTGTATTAGTGTCCTAGTGTAGATAAGAATCAATGATGGCAATGGATGGAGATATTATTCAAGGGCCTCTGTTATCTTTATGATGGCAAAATTTCGGTGAGAAAAGATTGTAATGAATTTATATACTCAAAATGTAGACTCAATTTATATTACATACCGCCTATAGTATAAGAAAATATATGTCAATTTTATAATGTATAAATTAGATACGAGACGGTAAATGCAAGAATTACCGAGATCGCGCGAAAATACTATGTTTAAAGAAGTCAATTTGCTTGCGTTTCCTAATATGTTTTCAGGTCAAATTGTTTTAATTAATATAATAATAGTGTACAAATATACACAAAATTTACTCAGTTTTAAAAATAAGTATCTAAATGTTATCTCTTAGTTTTGAGACCCAACATAAAACTAAAAACAACGTTAATTTATACAAATCAAATATTTTTGCGTAGCCCAAAATCGATTATCGAAATATCGATTGTTTTAATTTATTTTATGTCTCAAAGAAAGAGGATTAATCATATTAAAAAAGATTGCCGTTTCGGCCTATTCTGCCTGCTGCATTTGCAAATTCAAAAAGACCATTTAAATACATGCCGTTAGTTATTTGATACGAAAACACACAACATAAAAGCTGAAACATATCAAGGTACGTGTGTAATTTATTTTCGCGTCGACAACCGTCATAGACACGCTCCTGATTAATCGTATCTAGCATTAAACAAGTTATTCAGGGCAACCTATTTTCGGTATAGCATTTCACGTCCTGAACTGCAATTGGTGACGACTCTCGATCTATCAATAAGTAAAGACTCTCATATACGGGACAATTTGTCTTCACGACCCGTCGTTTCAGACTGATCGACACGATGAATCGAAGTGAATGTTTATGTCGTTGACAATAAGGGCCAGTGCAAACCCGACGGCGGGGGAGAGCATCGAAGAGGATCTTTTGTCCCTGTCTACTTAGACTACGGGCTCGACGGCAAGACCAGGATACAGCGGGCGTCCGAGCCAAGCCCTCCGCCAGTGACACGTCTCTGGTGGATCCGGACTTGGGTATGGACTCGCTGGGGTTTGTGGTTAGCTGCAGAGACGGACATGTTTGTCTACCGCAGTTGGGTGTGGCAGGAGCGTCTGTCTCGTGAGCAGCTAGCGCGTCTTAGTAGCGGTCTATTTGAGGGCCTGAAGCGAGGAGACGTGAGGGCCACGTGAGTTGCCCTTCAAGTTGGAAGCTATGTCCGGACATTGTCGCAGAACACTGCGACTGGCATCTCCGGCACTAGCCCGGAGAGCTAGTAGAGGATAAGCTAGATATCCTTCCTAGCGACTGCGCAGTCAAAAAGACCCCAGCGCATCAGGCAGACTCCGGTAAACACTGGTAGATTCTCTTTCAATACTGCAGAGAGAAATGGGCTACGATGCTCGGAGTTTGGTCTCAGAGCGTCGAAATTTATACCTTATTTCAATTGAAAATGGCACAAAAATTGGAATTGAGAAAACACGATTTGAAAATTAAAAAAACAAAAGAAAATACAAACTCAATTCTACAATGTTGAGCTACGACAGTATTTGGTTTTACGTGCGATATACATACATTGATATCAGTCCGCCGGTTGGCACTGGTCCTAACTTGAACGCCACGGGAGTAGCGACGAATAGATACAATTATTGTGACGATTGATCGAAACGAAGAATCGTCTGTGTATGGGGAGCCTTTAGTATATAATCATAATACGTAAAGTTCCTCTAACGATGATTAGTGAACAATCTTTTGTGAAGAACTTTTTGAAAGCTAAATAAGATCGTACATTTAGGACAAAAATAAATGATATTATTATGATCTGAATCTGAAATGAATTAACTTTCGCATTGTGTAATTTCGTGGTACAATCGGATAAAGAAGGATGGCGATATCATCGTGTATTTTGTGACACGGTGTTTTTGACGACGTGCATTTAGGAGACCTACCAATACTTGTGATTCATTGTCAAAGCATCAAAAAAGCCAATTGAGCCTGTCAAAGCTGGGGTTATAAAGTTGATACAGGTTATGTTTATAACATTGTCCTGTATTTCGCTTCATAATGTTTGTTTGTTAGTAGCAGAAAACAACAAGTTTTCAGGTTGTTCCCAAAAATAATAAAGAATTTCCCGAGTATTCCCAAATCTGCCAAACTCTGCCCAAGTGGCAGAAATCTGCCACAAATGGTCACACTGCTCTCAATATCAATGTGACATTGACATTGGCAAGAGGTCTCTTGTCAACGTTCCTTTGCCACTTTCATTATCTCTCATATAAATATTGTCTAAATATTTTTGCCATATTGTGTTTTATTTTTTGCTTCATATCATTACTGGTTAATTGAATATTTCATTAGGTATTTCATAGCTTTAATGTTTTATGTGTGTATTCAATCATGCTTAAAATGAAATGTACGTACAAGAAACTTACCTAATCTATGGTCGAAGTGAACCAATTGCGTTGTGTTCTTGCATCTAGTATTCTAAAATACAACGTTTTACAATTTTTTTATTTTCGACTTCTAAAAATATATTTATAACTAGGCATGAACTAAAACGCAAAATTATACTAGCAAAGTCCAAGAGCGGCTCTTCGTCTTTATTGGGCAGCTTTCGCCATCCTTCGTGCTTAGGTTTATATTTCGATACTATAGTTCCATACTATTTTTAGGCTAAACAAGTTGGAACATGCTATTGGAGACAAAGAGCTGTATCTAATAGAAGATTAGACCTTGATGCCGGCAAGGTTATCACAGGCTTTTAAATTTGCTTTGAAATGATAGCTACGTAGATGGTCTTTTTTTGCGCTAAACAACTTCAACATGACAATTACCTGGTTTTAAATTAGAGAATTACCTGTATTATTAAATTAGTACTAAGAAAACAAAATTAAATCCGGGGCACAAATATAATAATAAAATAAGAAAGACCGTGCACTACGTTTCAGTCAGGGAATCGACATTCCTCCTAGTAAATACCTAATTAATTAACTACTAACGTAATGTGTAAGGAAAACTAATTCACAGCGAATAGAATAGTGATACCTGAAATAAACAATATTTTTAACCGACTTTAAAAAGAGGATGTTCTCACTTCAAATGTTTTTTCTTTGTACGCGGTAACTCCGGCGGCATTGGTGAACCAATTTTGATGATTCTTTTTTGTTGGAAAGAGAGTACCTCACAAATTGTCCCATTTAAATTTGAAGAAAATATTATACATCTAAGGGTAGCAAACTAGGGAATTAAGGACTTTTGAGGTTGGTTTTTAAGTTTTTATTGCATAAGTACAGACACGCATATAAACAAAACAATATAGGAACAATAATAAAAACAACTATATCAAAACTATTCACATAATTATGCAGCCACCAATTCACCACCACGCGTATCGCGGCTCTGGTACAATCGGGACTTGCTCAGCTTTAGACACAATCGGTTTTTTTTTAAACCGTTTCGTGGCACTGATAAATGAAATAATTATTTACATTGTAATTTCACTACGTCCTTGCTCTAAAAACACGTGACAAGCCTATTTGTAACGCATAACCTAACTGCTTGTCATATAAGATAGTTAATTTCATAA